CTCTCTCTCTCTCTCTCTCTCTCTCTCTCTCTCTCTCTCTCTCTCTCTCATGTCTCCTTGGGGTAGAGCAGGTAGAATATGGTACTAGAAGACATTTGGTGCCTGGGTGCTGCTGAGCTCAGTGTAGACATAGGCTACCCTATGTAGAGATAGAGCTAGCCCTCCTCCCTCTGCAGAGCTAAGCACCCAGTCCCAGGAAGGCAAGACACAGCCATAGTCTGGAAAGCTGAAGTCAAGAAACATGGTCCAGCAGGATAGGAAAAAGGAAGCCCAGGCCTGGAGAGATGGCTCAGCAGTTAAGATTGCTTGCTGCTCTTGCCAGGGACCTAGCTTGTTTCCTCACACTCATGCCAGGTGGCTCACGACCTCCAGGAACTCCAGCTTTGCGAGATCCAGTGCCTTCTCGTGACCTCTGCAGGTTCCTGCACTAATGTGCACACACATATATAAACATATATGCATAATTTTGAATCAAGAAAGAGAAGAAACGGAAGAGCAGCTAGGGCAGCCTGGGGGCCCACCTGAAGGAGGAGGCTTTAGATTATATGCAGTATCTTAGTAGGAGTTAGGCAGGAAGGGGGATCCAGTCTACAAGAACAGGCATATGTCCTAATGTATAAAGGGACTGACAACTCAGTGACGTAGCTTTTACAAAGAAGGCACTTGGGGCTCAGGGATTGACTTATTCAAGGTCATGAGATCAGTGACCGAGCCCAAGATCTGAGTCTACATCGCTGTGGATGAAGCTCTGTTTTTGCCAGCACAGGTTACAGGGGAGGTTCACATTCAGGAGTGCCTCCAGCCTTTCTGCTTGCAGTGTGCTGTTCAGAAAGATTGAAGAGCACAGGATCAAACCACTGACCTTTATGTGTTCCCTTGCGCCCTCTTTCTTTTTTGCAGCACTGAGGATTGGACTCAGGGCCTCCTGCATACAAGGCAAGTGCCGTCTACCACTGAGCCACGCCCCCAGCCCCTCACTGGGGGATTCTAGGAAGGGCTCTAGAACTGAACCACGCCCCCAGCCCCTCAGTGGGGGATTCTGGGCAGGGGCTCTACCACTGAGCCATGCCCCCAGCCCCTCACTGGGGGATTCTAGGCAGGGGCTCTACCGCTGAGCCACGCCCCCAGCCCCTCACTGGGGGATTCTAGGCAAGTGTACTTTACCACCAAGGTACACTTCTGGCCTTTATTAGTTTTTATTTTGATACTCAGCCTTACTGAGTTGCCCAGACTGACCTTGAATTCACTCTCTAGCCAAGACAAGACTTGAACTCAGGATTTGTCTGCCTCATCCTCCCAAGGCCTGGGGTATCCCATCCAACTTCTTCGTTTTTCTGATTCTTTAACCCAGTAGTCCTCAGGTGTATCTTTCCTGAGGGAAGGCTGGAGCAGGGTAGCCAGGGCCCACTCCTGTAAGATGTACCTCATGTCGGCCAACCCCCAGGTGCTTCCTCAGAGATACTGTCAGATCTCTGAAATCCATCACAAGGTCCCTAAGCACATGCAGAACAACATGGTCAGGGCAGGGGCAGAGCACCTGCCTGGTTCAAGTCCCCTTACTTTCTATCCAAGTTTGTCCATTCATTGATTCTCCATCATATTCTGTATCTCTCCTCTCTCCCTCCTCCCCTCCAATCTTCATATCTCTGTCTCTCTGCCTGCCTCTCTCCTCTCTGTTCCCCCCTCTGTCTCTCTCTCTGCCTTCCCCCCCAACCCCCACTCCTGGAACTCACTGTATAGCCTAGGCTGACCTCATACTTGGGATAACTGCCCTTTTCCATCTAGGAGCGAGCTTCCGTGCCTGGCTTAAGCCATATGGTACACCTAGGTTTACTTCCTCTTAGTCTCTGCACCTCATATCTCTTCACAGTGTACGGCTCCGTCAAGCGTAGTTGTTTTAGATCTAGGGAAATGGCTCCATTGGTAAAGCACCTGCATGCAAGCATGACTGAGTCGGGATCCCCAGTACTTAAAAAGTAAAATGGACTGGAGGCTTGAGAGGCAGCTCGGTGGCAAAGAACACATGCTCCTCTTGCAGAAGACCCGAGTTCAGGTCCCAGCGCCCACATTAAGCAGTTCATGAGCACTTGTGATGCCTGTTCAAGGAGATCCAATGGCATAGTCTGACCTGCAGTCATGTATACACACACCACACACGATAAAAAGTAAAACTTTAAAAAGTGGCGGGAGAGGGGGGCAATGAACATCAGGGTTAGAGGAGACTCCGACTCGGAAAAGGGGAGGGGGTGGGGAAGAGAAAAGGGAGGGTGGGAAGCAAATGGAGGAGGATAACGGCATCAACCTTTGGT